CTACTCTTGTCTTAATAACAGCATCAGTCCTTTTGGATAAGCATAACACCAGTCGCATGAGATTGGTGAGAGGGTTCCTGTCCATTTTATCCCACAAAATGCACATTTCAGCCAGAGTTTGAGTTTGCCTGTTTTACCTGCTGCTCCTAATGGAGATTTGGGATGGAGGTCTGGTGATTTTAGTCAGCCCCAGTGTTCCACTGCTTGGGGAAACTATCTAATCATTCCAATAACCAATCTTACTCACTGACACCCACATTCATACACATATATTTGGACCTGAAGTTGTATGGGCACCCCTGGTCAAATGACATGTTTTGTTAATTTTTCTGAGTGAAAATAAGTTAACACAACCTCTATAGAATGCACACTTCTGTACGTTTGAATGCAAAACATGTAATTCGACCAGGGGCATTCAAACTTTTACAAAAGACTGTATGCACCCTACAGTTGTCACCCTGGAAGGTGGGAGTATCAGTGTTGTGTTCTGCTCAGACCTGAAGCACAAAGGTAGTGAGATAGTGGGTTAAAATGGACAGGAAGGGACTCATAACCAAGTATTAGAGAAGAATGTATGCATGTGACTTTGCATTTATGCATGTGAGCTTGTACACTTTTAATATTGGCAGCTGGGCCACAAAGTGATTCCAATAATAAAATGTGAAGTCTGGTAACAGAAATTTGCATCACTGTACAGCTTAGTGATAAACCAAACCGTGTCTGTCTTTCCTAATACATTCATTTTTCTACTTTTGCCTTTTTTAAAGAAGCTAATGGTAGTTAATGGCAGCAGCTTAGCGTAAAGTTGTTAAATTGTTACTTGGCAACTGTGGAATGATACAGTTACCACTTTTCAACCAATCAGGTTGTGTGGTTGGAACAAGCTGTTGTGGAGTGAAATAATGTTTCTCTAGTGCAACATACAAGACAGGGCCAACAATATTTCCTGGACCACATAGTGACCAAGGTATAGACTACAGGCCCACAATTAAAAGACAGTGTAATACAATGGTGAATTACTGTACAATAATACACCACAGTGCAAAACTGGACTCAAAGCCCAACAATAAATACCGTACAATAGATAAACAAGACAAGACATTATGAGACAGACAGGAACGTGTATAAAAATATCTTCTATGAGAGTGCAGACCTGAGTAAATAGACAGTGCAAATTATATGTTAACTGTAACAGCATAGCATTACAAATGATAGGCAGTCTATTACAGATAGCAGTGCTCTGGCAACCTAATGAATGGTCCTCGAGTGGTGGACGTGGACAGTCCAGAGAATAGGAGAGACTTCCAGCACAGCAAAGAGGAACTGAAGCCATTAGACAGGACACAATACAACAAATGGTGTCTGGACAGCAAGCCCAAATAGCCAGAGGTTGTTATGCACAGCAGATGAATACTTCAGAACAGCAATTTTATTGGAAAATATCACATAGCAAAGGCTGAAAAGTGAAAACAGTCCCAGGAGTTGGAAGGAATTGGATTGTGAGCAGGAGAAAATGACCCAGGCTGTTGGAAACAGGAGCTTTAAAAGCATTAAGCTTGTCTTTGCGTTGCAATGCGACTGCAGATTTTTTATCTAATTGCCACCTGCTGCACTGGCTACTTTTCTTCAGCTTTTTAATTTGTCCTTCGAAGCAGCCGACAAAATGGAGGGCTTTCTGACTTTTCAACCTGTAATTTCCTCATGCGGTCCCCTGGCCCTCGCTCCATTTTTACTGAAGATATTGGAGCCACTGATCAAAAAAAGGGAGGTACCCTCCTGTGCGGCCTTCACTACACTTTAAGCAGGCATTAATATAAGTGAAATATTAACTTATGCAGTGAAGTTCAGTATGGTTTAATTTAATTCTGTTTGAACATTGATCCCATAGACAGTTTTGTTCACTTTTCTTTCTCGCACTTCAGTTCTCTTCTATACCGGTTCTTTTAATTCTTTAATGCTGAGGCAGCATCTATTTCTGCCTTTTAATCAGTTTTTCTCCTTTAATAACGTGATTTGTCAGTGCTGTTGTCACATTTATATTCATATGTGAAGAATGTGATCCATCACAGATGAGAATTCATAGATTTTTATTCTGCTTATACCACAAACTGCTATTTTGTGCAAGCAAATTAATCCCTATCTAGGCCCCTAGTGGCAGCTCAGTGGAATGAAAATGGCCAAGGAGATTTTTGTGCATTAACTATGTGTAACTGTGATATAAATGTGTATTCAGATTAACTAGGACACTGTTGATGAGGGACGTATCCAACAATAAAGGCAGCATGGATCTTCTTTTATACAGTGATGGGAAACACATAGAAAGCTCCAATTCCACATGCCGACCCATTTTACTGACCACCGTGGACATACAGCTCACTCACTACTCTGGAGGCAGATCTGAACCAGTCAAAGGGGTCTCTATATGGATCACTGACCACACATTAGCTAATAGAGGTGCCTGGGATGGTTAAACCAGGGTAGATTTTACTTCGGCCTTGCCTATGGGGCTTACATAACATCTTTATATAACCATAGTTAAACAAGCACTATTATTAGCTTGGTCTCCTCTACTCTCCTCCCTGTTGAATTCTTTGATCCTTTTAGGATGTTGAAAATCATACTGGAGGTGCTCCTGTAATCTCTTTGAAGATTTGCATATACCTCCCCGTTCCTCTGAGCTCAAAGAAGTTTCAGGGAAAAGAATGAAAACTCAGCTGAACCAATGGTGGTATTTGATAATGAGTTTGTGTGTTAATAATCAGACCAATATATATAGGTATGTTTAACCCATCAAACCCATTACTACATTGAAAATAAAGCAAACCGGCTGAGATATTAAGTAATAAGAGAAAGGAATGAAAGTCTAGACCCATAAGTGGTTCCTGGCCATTCATCAGGTTAACAGTATATTGTAAATAGGATTTGGCTGATGTTAAGGGTCCACAGATTTAGCAGCATCTGTGGAAATGCCACATTCAAAAACAACAACTGACCCAAAAGTGAACTGAACTTCCATTTCTAATTGTAGTTCATTCTCCACCTGCTTGACAGACAGCTGGGCCCACCATCATAACTGTGATTATTTCACAGTTTGGTAATTTTATACCACTCTTAAACATCTAAATTGGTTAATTAGCAACTGTGCTTGCTAGTTAGCTTAACTTAGTAGCTGTCATAAAACAATACCTGCACCCCTCACAAAAAGTCTACATTTACACTGAATCGTGTGCAGAGACAAGTAAAGCGTCCTTTTTTCCTCTTGACACTGTGAACTGACACGTTAGCTTTCTTGCTTACTATAGCTTAAAGCTACTAACCTAATATAGTGCGCTTTCACACGTGCATCTACAATCACACTTGCGTCAAGCAAAGCGTAGATTTTCTATGTTGAGTTTGAAATGAGTAAAACTACTCATTCTGCGGAGGCTAGCATAGTGTTAGCTTATAGTGTTAGCATTAGCTTCCTTAACTAATCTCCTCAGTGAACTCTTTACAAAGTAATAATTCTAAAAATAGCAATGGGCCCATCAATGTACCATTCTAGTGAACTTATGAAAGAATGCTTAGTGACTTTGGCTTCAATGGGAGTGAAGTATTCACTAAATTGTTCTTGGTGTCAGCCACAGAGAAGATGCTTGAATATCCTAGTAGCACCATTGTTGAGCATGTACCAAAAACATCTGTTGTGAGATTGACTCATTTCTAAGGATTTTAATGGTTTCATCATATTAACCCCTTAAAATCTCAGGCTTATTGTTCAGTAACTACAGGGATGTCAATACAAACTGGCTGAGCTATTCTTAAGTCATAGAAGTATATAAAAACTTTAGGCTGGTGAGCTCTGGCAATTTAGGGGGTTAATGACTAACCACATACTTATGGCCATGTAGGATATCGTCGCAGTGTCTATTTATTTTTACATAATTTAAAAACTCCAGGTATCTATTGCATTGTGTTAAAATGTGTAAGAATGGAACAAAAAAAGTCCAAAATTGCTTGGAAAAATGTTTACATTAACATGTAAAATATGTTTCCTCCGTTACAGCCATATGCAAAAGTTTGAAAACCCTTGTGGAAACTATATATGTCTATATATTTGTTAAATTTAAACGTACTATATTAAACATAACAGTATGTAACTTCAATACAGCTGTTCAAAACATCCATTGCAAAAATTTTTTTTGTGTTTGTATTTTGCATACAGTGCATACTTCTAGGCAAAAAAATAAATAAATAAATACATATCAAGGAAAAAGGGCCAGGCCCAAAATGGCAAAACATTAAGCTTTTATTGATCTTAATAATAAATCATTAGAAAAATAGATGAAGTAACTTAATGTGGGAGAGTTTTCCCTTTGATTTATTTAGATGTTAAAGTTTTATATGTACATTTGCAGACAGTCTTTTAGAGTCAGTCTTTTCCCACTCAGCATAGATGGCTTCAAACAGCTGAAAAACATTGCCAAGCTAGTTTGTGTTTAATATGAGACCACATGTTCTCTATAGAGTTTAAATCTGGACTCCCATCAGTAAAAAAACATTATCATATATACTTTTTTTTGCCCAGAAGTGAATTTATCTTTGACACATTTTCACAGCAGTGTGTTTATTTGACATCTACACCAAGAGAAATGTCTTGTGTTTGGTGAAAAAAAGTATTATATTTCTGATTATGCTAATCTTTTCAGAAGCAATACAGGTTGAACTGGTAAACTTGATCAACTTGTATTATCAGTTTATTTAAATTTTTATCCCCTTGACATCAGTGCAGCAGCAATATTCTCCTGTCCGTTGGGCCTTAGTTAATAGTTTGTGTTCTGAGTAAAGTGCTGGTTTCATTCAGCAGTCTGGGTGCTCTCAGACTGCAATGAAAGCCTGTGAGCTTAAACACAGCCCACGGTGCTCAAACACACACCCAGACAGGCCAGCGTACAGTGTGTGCTGAACTGACTCTGTGTGGCCCGCTGCTCCTTCAGATTATTTATTGATGTTTCTTTCAGCAGGTGCCTTGAAACTCAGTCTGGCTGAAATCTACCGACAGCGCTGAAAAATGAGGACCTGTGTTGCACTTCTCGGAGCTGTTCTCGTTCTGCCCATTATTCAGGCTGGTAGGTCCATGGTTTTTGTACTGAATCTCTCTCTCTCTCTCTCTCGCTCTCTCTCTCTCTCTCATTTGCTTTGCTCAGTTAGGGTTTTGTTGTCCAGTTTATTAGAAACATCTACTTTGTACTTTGGCCATTTTATCAGAAACCCCTGCCATATGGGTGCACTTTGTACATTTACATTCACAGACTGTAGTCTATCTGTTGATTTATTTATCAGCCTCATCCATAACTGGTCAATTTCTGACCACAGAGCCACTCCCGACCAGATATTGTAATATCTTGTCAGTTGGGTCCTATGATGGTATCTTTCCATTAACAACTGAGGTAAGAGATGGAATTCAGTCAGTAATTGTGAACGTATATAGTGGACATATAAGGTAGGTGTATCTGATAAAATGTTCAGTCAGAACAAACCTAAATATTTTTATTACCATTATGTGTCAGACAAGTGTAACTATGATGTTACCACACCCCTCTGTAATATTGAAAGCTTCCCTCTGACAGTAGAATATTAGGCATCTTACAGATATTTGGGTGACTTTAAATTCATCTTGCATATGCTTATTTATATCGCAGCAATGGTTTATACAACATGAAATGAAATGAAAAGATTGAACACTATGGAAGTTTTGGAGATTTGGTGGAAATGTGTAACTGCATAAAACATGTTGAAGAACATTTTGTAGCATGGCTTGTGCTTTAGACACCTTCTTCGAGTAGATGAATCTGCTCATTAAAAGAAAATTCAAAAAGAACTCAGTGAAAACTTGGTGAAGCGGATAAGAAGCAAAGCTTCCAGTGTAACTTTAATAAACATTCTGTCTTCACTCCGGCACCAATTACTCAAATTCGCTTGCTCAGATTTGAGTCTTTATTCCCTAAACCTACCTCAGTGGGGCTTCGCTGAGCTGGGATGTACCTGCGTGTTTGCATGTAAAGCTGTTGAAGCCTTCTTGCTGAGCTAATACTAACTTACAGTGCTAACAAGGATGTTGAAGCTGCCTGTGGTGGTGTGAATCTGTAGCTTGCTAAGAATAGAATGCAATAGAATGCTACATGCTATTAGAAAAAACAGGTCCACACACCATATTTGACAGCTTATTAGACAGATGTGGACTATAAATTTGACACTGTTCTGATTTGAAATATTAATATAATTAATCAGTTTTAGCTATTAGCTTACTGCACGGGCCAAACATTTAAAACAAGTAAGCTACGTTAGCTCAGGTATGTTTTGTAGGTGAAGTCCCCTGCTGCCACCTCATAATCCTCTTGTTAGCATGCTTTACTATTTAATAACCGAACGTGCAAAGTGGAGTTGCTACGTAGCGCCACATGAATCACTTTTTCCAAATGTGCTAAGAACGCCGGAGGTTTCATTTGGATAAAAGGGAACTCTTCACAATAGCAACACAGTTTATATAATAGTAATGTCAGTCAATATAATCGTAACAACACATTAAAAACCACATTTTTGAGTGCAGGGGGTCTTTAAATATTGCAGTGTCTCTCTCTCTCTGTCTCTCTCTCTCTGGGCCTCTTGCCCACACTAACGTATGCTGCGCTGCTAATTTGTGCTGCGGCAATCTCCCAGCAGGAATATGGTTATCATGTGCCACGGCATGAGATGAATAAACACAAAACCTCCTTTATGTGCCAAACCAGGAGCTATTACACCGTGGAAATCAGCTCACTTGTTACCCAGCAGAATGTAATCAAATTTCGGGCAGCATATGCATGTTCATCAGTGCAGCTCAGCTGTTACTGGCTCAACACTTCTTTTCAAGCATCCCTTTCATACCTAATGTTAAAAAGGGATGAGTAAAAAGGGTGAACGAGGGCTTTTCGCAAGGTCGAGAAATTTGCCTGGTGACCAAATGAGTCGTCCAAGCTGAATGACCCTAGTAACAGAAACCACCCAGTAATTCCACTGAATCAGTTGTAGCAGATTGCAGTAATTAACCATTTAAACTGCAGGCGTATTATGTAGTTATTAATCTTAATGGGGCCGTCCAATAAACTCAGTCTGTTTATTGGAACTGAGCTGCAATAACAGCCTAGTTTTGTCATCGTAGTTGTGATATCACAGCTATGAAACTTACTTATAACCATGGTTGAAGCCTACAGCACATTAGCCCCACCCATTCCCACTGAAGTGTTGTTCCTGCAGGCAGTCTGTAGCAGAGATATTGGAGTGGAACGTGTGAGAAAAACATTAAACGTCATGCTGTTCATGTCTGTCAGGAAGCAAATAGATCATTGCAGGCTTCCAATGGATCCACACAACTGAATTTTTGTTTTTCCCACATTTCTAAAGATTTCAGTCCAAACATAACAGTTTCTTCCATGTATTTTCATGTATATTCCATATATTTTAGCCTGGACTGCTTTGTGAAAGAAGTGAAATGAAGGGAAGCCAACATACATATACCCTATTTGCCATACATATACATATATGAGCTTGTTGGACATCCTTTTCCAAACCATGGGCACTGATATGGACTTAAACCCCCCAACCACTGCCCACCCCCACTTTGCGGCTATAACAGGCCTTCCACAATATTTTGGAGTGTGTTTGTGGGAATTTGCACCAATTCAGTTAAAAGATCATTTGTGAGGTCAGACACTGGTGGACGAGAAGGCTTGGCTCACAATCAACGTTCCAGTTCATCCCAAAGGTGCTCAGTGGGGTTGAGGTCAGGGCTCTGTGCAGGCCACTGGAGTTCCTCCATGCCAAACTCCTCAACTCAGTATGGAGCTCATTTTGTGCACAGGGGCTCAGTCATGCTGGAACAGGAAATGGTCTTCCCCAAATTGCTGCTACAAAGTTGGAAGCATATGATTGTCTAAAATACTTCTGTATGCTGTAGCGTTAACATCACCCTACACTGGGACTAAGGGATCTGAAAAACAGGCCCAGCCCATTATCCCTCCTCCACCAAACTTTACTGGTGGCACTCAGCATTCCGGGAGGGATCATTCTCCTGGCATCCACCAATCCCAGATTCGTCCATTAGACTGCTAGATAGTGAAATGTGATTCATCACTCCAGAGAACACATTTCCACTGCTTCAAAGTCCAGTTGCAGTGTGCTTCACACTACTACTATAGTGATCTTATGCTTCTTAGCTGCTTGGCCATAGAAATCCATTTCATGCATCTCCCAACACACAAACCTTGTGCTGGTGTTGCTTCCAAAGGCATCTCTGTAGTCAGTGACACAATGAAGGATAGGTGAATTTTACTTGCAGCACACTTCAGTTTGTGTGGTCTCCTGCTTCATGGCTAAGCCGAGACACTTCCATTTTTCAATAATAGCACTTACAGTTGACTAGGGCAGATCTAGCAGGGCAGAAGTTCCAGGAACCAGCTTATGGCACAGGTGGCTTCTTAAGACATATTTAAAGTCACTGAACTGTTCAGTATGACCCCTTCTACTGCCAGTGTTTGTCTATAGAGATTGCATGGCTATATGCTTGATTCTGTTCACCTGTTAGCAATGGGAGTGGCTGAAACACCTGAACTCAATCAGTATGTTCGCATACGCTTGGCAATATTGTGTACATTTGAAAGGCAGAGCAACAAAAACAGGCTGCTCCATGGAGAAATGAATGACTGTTTTTGACTCAAAGATGTACCCAAGTCTTATAAGTGGAAAGGGAAAAATAAAAGAAAAAGAAAAATGCAGAATGTGGCCCCATAAGACTCGTTTTTCAGTTACTGTCATAAATTATCCAGCATGTATTAGGAAACTAATGTAGCTGTGAGAGGAATGGATGCATTGAAGTAGAATTGACCCTTGCAATTTAGGGGGTTAAATAGGTCTCTGAAGTCTTGAGCTGGTCCTGATTTGCTGTAGAGAGGAATCATACAGTCATATGACAGTTTGCACAGTTCAAGCTTCAGTGTTTACTCGCTGTTCTGATTATCCAGTTATTAGTAACAGTAGGGTGGAGAGCATTCAGAGCCACATAATGTGCAGGCACGTTCCAAATCTCCAAAGAGTTGCTGGATGTCTCTGAGAGAGAGAGAAACAGTGATAGAGAGACATAGAGAGCATATGAGTTCTTTGCATTGGCCAGGGCACACCTCCAGCTCCTGTGGCTTTGTCCTCTCTTGTTTTGTTGTGGTCTGGTCGGGCATAGCCACCCTGGCATGGACAGGCCCAGTGGCACTATTTTCATCTTTATAGGGGAATAAATATAGTCTTGTCTTCTGTTCTTTGACCCAAAGTCAGTTTATTGTAATTGCAAACAGAAGTCATTTGTTGGCTCGCAATAATTACAAACATGAGCGCTCTCCTTTTGCCCACGGAGAAACGATTCTCCACCCCAATTCAAACGACAGAAGGGAAAAACATATCGATAGCGCCATCATTTCCCATCAATAACAAAGATGGTGGGGTTTTATACAACACAATGCACAAATGCTTTGTTTTAACTGAGCGTGCAGAAATATCATTGGCTTTCCTTCTACGTTGGGTGTAATTAGAGCAGTGCTCATCCGCTTTTAAGGAAGATATGGCCTTCCTAGGAACTGTCAGTCCATTAACGTCTTTTTCAGCAGCTTTTTAGAGCTTAATGAGGTTTTCAAGGTTTTTGTTGTGGTGAGAATTCCTTTTGGTTGCAACACTTCTTGTATAAATTAGCTCTTACAGTGCCTAAGAACTGCCTGTGGTCAGCCGGAGTGTTTTGATATTCAGCTTTAGTCACTACAGCAGTTAGCAAACCACGAGCCTGGCACAGAAGGCGTTTTTTTTCTCTTTGTGTTGCTGATCTGCTCTTCTGTGCTGAAAGGACAGGTGATAAATGAGTCAATAAAGCACGTTTAATCCAAAGCCCTTTAAAGAAATTATTTGGTTATTGTCTTTTCATGACAATGCAGCAGAGTTGAGCTTTTCTCTGTGTCGAGCCTGAGGAGGGCAGAGCAGCACACAGACCTGCAGTTCAAGAAAAAACACTTATATCTGTGTTTGTGTGTGTTTGTGTGTGTGTGTGTGTGTGTGTGTGTGTGTGTGTGTGCTTGCTTTAGTGTGTTTTCAGGGTAAAATGGTCCTGACTTTTTACAAGAGGTTAAAATTGCATATAGATGCTTTCCTATTTATATAATACAGATGGGACATTGTATCTATGGTCTAATATATACTTATATAAATATGTACTTTTTCCATATATGTATGGGACAAGTATGTATGTATGTATGTATGTATTATTACATATAAGTACTATGTATGAGAGAGAGAACAAGAAGGACATTGGTCGATATGTGTGAGTATTTTTGAAGGATGATAAAACGTCAGTATGTGTGTGTGTGTGTGTGTATATAGCCTCCCTCACTAGGGTCCTCCACCCTGCTTGGTTTAGGTCACCATTCCAATGAAAGGTCCACCAAAAGCCATCATGGCTCAAATAGCTGGAATGCTTTTAACTTATGAGTTTAATCGCTGTAATAACTCTAATCTTAATCGCTTATATATTAAAACTCACTGTTTCTTTATCCAGTCCAGCACAACAGGCTCTGTGACCCTGAAACTAATAAATATTTTTGAAGACAAAATAAAAGTGTTGATTTGGTCTTCATGTGACGAGGCAGATAAGAGACTTTATCGATTTTATTTTGGTTCAGGCTCATTTTGGCTGAACCTTATTAAATCACTCACAGAATATTTATCCAGTGACTAATTTGGTGTGTTTGTGTATGCGCTCTGAACTACATGAGTTGACTCCTGCTCTATTAAGCATTTTGAACTAACTTGTTTTGCTTGTGTAGTTATAATTGTATTTGTTAAGCAGCGATGAGGGACATGGGGGTTCTGAGGGGGTCGCAGCATTCCCAGATTTCAGGACTGTTTAACTGCAACTACTAAAAGGAATATATAGAAGAACTGAACATTTATATAAAGTCTAGTAAAGACTTATGTGCACTTGTTTTAGGGTGGAGTTGTTTTTATTTTAACAGTCATTTGACTGCTTTTGGGCATGTCGCTAAAATACCACCAGCTTAAACGTTTTTTTTTAAGTGCACCACAAACAGTCGTATGCAAAAGTTTGGGCGTCCCTTGTCAAGTTACATGCTTTTGTTGATTTTCTAAGTAAAAATAAGTGAACACATCCTCTACAGAGAAAACACTTCTGCATATTTTAAAGCACAATAACTGTTTATTTGCTGAATTTAACATATTGGGGAAAAAAAAATATCATAATCATAAAATGTGGCTCATGCAAAAGTAATGCCAAATTTATACTTTTTTTTAAATATATTAAACGGAGTAAGGTAATAGCAATTGTGCACTAAAATTGTCAGGTAAATGCCATATTTAAGTTCCCTGCAGAGGACTGTATATTAACTTTACTTAGAAAATCAACAAAACCTGTCATTTGATTGGTCGCCACACAGCTCTTTTGCATAAACTAGTCCAGAAGGAGAGTGAGCAGGATGTATATCATAGTTTTGACTTGTAAGTTATGTGTATATATTATTGTCTCCCCTACTTTGTAACATGCTATGATACATTCTGTTTGATGTGAAGTATCCAAAAATGTGAATGAACAAAAACTGGTAAATATTTTGCCTGATGTCACTTTATAAATTCAGCACCCTTGACTGAAAACACCTAACTGCTCCCTGTTAATACATTTGTGTGTGTGTTTGTGTAGTTTGTCCAGATAAGGTACCCGGCCTGCAGCCCTGGACCCCCGGCTTTAGTGAAGCCCACCATGTCACCATCGGTTATGGCCGCAAAGTGCTCCTGACCTCCTCTGCCACTGTCCACTCCATTGAAATCCTGCATGGAGGTACAGCACCACCAGCAGCATCAGTATCATCACTGATATACCTATTCTCTGATATTAAGAAAGAACCTATACTTCAGTCATAATTCATGGTCCTCCTCCAACAACAGCAAGACTCATAACATATAAGAAATAAATTATACATCAAAATGATGTGAAAGGTGAGCTTAAACAATAGTTCACATTTGTCTTCATTTTAATGCAATAACAAAATTACAGTATAAAACAACAACAATATAAAAAAGTAACAATATAAAAATTGAGGGACCAGAGAAGATTTATTCATGTATTTCATGTGTTTATTCATTTATTAATTACTCATTTACCTAATGTTTACCTGCATAGTACACTGTCCCAAGTGTTTAAGGTCTCTTGGGTCTTGGGTCTGTTCTGAGGCCCCTCCCAGGCCCCTGGCAGTCAGAGGCACCTGGGCACTGGCTCCACTGGCCTTGTCAGTTATCCAACACTGTTCATTTTTATGTTGTCATTTTCTTTATTTTTGCAGAATTAAAAAAAAAAACCCTCCCTTTACAGTGTGTTAAAATTTAGCGAAGATTGGTACAATATAAATGCTCCAAAATTACTTGCAAAAAAAAAAAAAATTCTAAGTGAAAGTAAGTTAATACATCCTCTACAGAGAATAAACTTAAATATGTAATTTTTCTGCAAAAAAATAAGCACTGTGTTTTGCAGTGTATATGTATGCTATCCCTCCCAAATACCATATTTGTACTGTACTACTGTAATGCACAATATACAGCTTTACAAATCATCAGCACTGTAATTAGAAAAAAGTCTGGTTTCCTCAATTAAGGAAAGGAATTATTTCAAAAGACCTACAACTTCTCTTTGTGTGTTCTTTGCTCTTGGTAGGAAAGCTGGTTATTGCTGATACGAATCTGCCCATCTTGCTGCGAGCCAAACACATTCTGATAGGCAACAAAGGGGAGCTTCACATTGGGAGTGCAGACTGTCCATATAAAGGAAACCTCACCATCTCCCTCTATGGCAGGTAACCAAGTAGCTTTGTAGCAAAAGCTCTGTGTATTTGAGTAACAGTCATCATCGGATAGTCATATTTCACACATGCAAACATCTAATTATCAAGTCAATCCTAGCCACGTCTGTTTGGTAAATGCTAGCAAGCTAACCTGATCTGTTGTTTTACGTCCTACCATTTCCTAATTAATGCAAACATGTGCTTATATTCACATCCAACAGTTATGGGTGTTAACAAAATGTCTATGGTATAATAGGTGATTACCTAAAAGTAAGTTGCATTTAGAAAAATAGAGAATTATGAGCCACTGACCAGCAAAACAGGCAACTTTTAGATCTGAGACTATTTATAACTGCTATTGAACACTTCTGCACAAACATTGTTACATTGATTGAATAATTGTGAGATTTCATGAGATCCTCATTTTATGATACCCAAACAGGTCTGACGACAGCGACGAAGAGCACAGTTACTTCGGGCGTAAGTACATTGGCGTAGGAACCGGAGGAACTCTGGAGATTCACGGCCAGAAGAAGCTGTCGTGGACATTCCTTAACGAAACTCTACATCCTGGAGAAGGCAATGAGAACAGTTACCACTTTGAGCGAAGCTGGGGCAACAGGGGCATCATCGTCCACATCATTGACCCAAAAACTGGAGAGGTGCTTCACAATGATAGGTCGGTGTAAATTCTCTCTGGTTAAAACTGAACCATTTGTTTGGCCTTGATTTGTTATGGATGGTTTTGCTTTATAATAGATTACATTACGTTATTTCTGCATTTTATTTGAAATAAGTAATGATTTATTATGTGGTTGTAATTAAAACAGGAAATGGAAATTATACAATAACTGTCAAAGCAAAGATATCATCCCAACTGGCAACACCACACGTGATTGATGTGGAATTATTTTCATGAGAGAGAAAAGAGTGACTTGACCTTTGGATGTCCTCAAAACAGTTCTTTATGCTCAGACCCGTCTGGAATGTTTGTTGGCTTCCAGACGTGTCTGTGGTCAGATGATGATTTATCTCTCTGACTCACTTTGTATGTGTGTGTGTGTGTTTGTAGGTTTGACACATACCGCAGTAAAGACGAAAGCAGACGACTGGCACAGTATGTAGAGGGAGTGGAGAATGGCCAGATTTTGGCCATGGTGGTGAACGATGAAGGATCCAACAACCTGGAGGATACAGCCAGGAAGGCTCTGTCCAAGCTGGGCAGCCGTCACTTTCACCGGCTTGGTTTCAGGTGCGGTATGCATTAGTGGGTACTGAAAGATGGTAGGAACTATAAAGAGTCTCAGAGTGAGAGATTAGACCCTTTTCCATGTGCCAACTGCAAAAAAAACACTCTAAAATCCTTTAAGCAGTTTCGGAGCTAGGTTAGTGTTTTCAGCATTATGGCACAGGACACACTCAATGACAATAACAACAGGGCACACGACCAGCAGGTTTTATTATTATTTTAGTATGAGGTGGATTGGAACAGGACTACAATTACCGAATGTGCTTCGAGTTCAACGAATTACAGAAGACCATTAACTCCACAGTTATTGCTGTGATACTGTAAAACACTGCATACATTGCAAATTCATACTGGATTAAAATCACTCCACAATTATTACTGTCAGACTGTAAAAAACTACACACACTGCAGATTCATACTGGATTAAAATCACTTAATTATTACTGTCAGACTATAAAATCTACACACTATAGATTCCTACTGGATTGAATTTTAGTGCTTAAGCACGTACAAGCAGCTCATTACAATTTTTTATAAAATCATTAAATCATTAAAATCATTTGGCTAATCCAAGTTCTTTAACTTTGTACTGGAGCTACAAGGCTAATGAAGCTAACAAGTCATGGAAGCTTATACTACACCAATTAGCACTGCACAACACTGCATGCCTGAATTATCACATTAGCCTCAAACTGCATGAGGTGGAGGATGCTTTAGTTTTGGAACTGTCTTAGTCCCAGAGTAGATCAGGTGAAAGAATTTCCTTGTTTTTGTTCAAATTTGGCCAGAGCCGATTGCCGCTGTCACAAACCCAATTTTTTTTTTTGAATTCTTCGTCCTGGCTTCCAAGAGGTTCCTCCTTTACCAGGTGTTGCAATAAGCCCCCCGTAACTGTTGATTTGAAAACGGCTCTCCATTTCCCCCAGTAATCACTAATGGCATGATTGGGCTTGGAGAAGATATTCCAAGTCCAGCATGCAAAATCTCAGAGCAGCTGCTTCTCAATCAGCAACAAATCCATTCGAACGTGCATTAAAAATTGGAGCAGATGGTTTTCAGGCTGATCCAGACTGATCCTGGGCCTCCACTTCTCCACTCAAGAACCACTAGACCTCATTTATCTCGTGCCGAAAGAGGCTTCCTCGCGCTCACTAGCTCTTCTGCCAGAAATGCCCCCTCTTGATTTGTATTATGTTGGGTTTTGACAGAGCAAATCCCAGCGTGTTTTTGCAGCTCCGTCGACAACGACAGCCTCACAAAAGTGGCGGAAACAAGGCTGGCAGGAGGAATTTGCAATCGAGTAATTTCAGGAATCGCGCACTAAAGTGAGAAGTGCCGTGACAGTAAGCAGAAAACAGAGTGGCGGTACAGAGCAGACTGGCAGGCTGAATGCAGACTTTCGGGTTTCCTAGTCGAGCTGAAGACTTTGTTCCGGCTTGCAGAACATTGTCAGTGGAACAGAGTCGAATATGAATCAGTGTTCTGCTGTTATCCGAATGCTCTGCCAGGTCAAAACAGGAACAGCTGCTTATATAACGATGCCTACTAGTGCTGTAGTATTAGCATCTCTCTGACAGGTGCTGTTAGCCATCTTGATGAAACTCCAGACTGCAAACCAGAAGTCACTTGTGGAAAACCACTAAGTGCTCTGACCAGCGCAAAAAGTTTACAAACACTTCTCATTAAGATGGAGTAGAGAAGCAGGGGAACGTATTTAGGTTCCCAGGGCCCTATATTCCCTCAACACTTTATATGATAGATCATGCATAAATATGGTTTAGGAAAATGGTTTCTAAAGTCATGGTTAGGGTCTTATGCTCTCTGAAGGTGATACAGGAACAAGAAGAAGCCAAATTTTCAGTTGGAATGCACTTTGCCTCAGCTAAGCTAGCCTCAGCGAGCAAAGGCAAACTTTGTAATGCAAAGCCTTATTTATACATATACTTTTTGAATAATTGTTTTATGTGTTTTAAATATGCTTCATTCTCCTTCCATTTTATTGTAATTATTTGTGTAGCACTTAGTTAGGGCTGTGAGAATATTGGTCCCTGGAGAATATAGGACTCTGGGAATACAGGGCCCTGAGGCCATATTACAGAAACTTCCTATATTTTCATCTTAACTTAAGATCTGATGGGTCAAGAGTTTTTTTTACAAATTCATCTTACAGAAGCAAGTCTTACCTTAATTTAGAAATCTTATCTTACAGCATCTTAAGTTAGGAAATCTTAACTTGCTCGATTAAAGTCAACAATCAACTGTTATGTCTGTTACCTAGAAACCAACCACAGCTGAAATGTAAACACGTAATCAAAACAATCTAGCTAGTTAGCCAGACAGCTAGCTATTGTTACTGATTTGTTTTAAAAATGTCAAACAAAACTAAAGCTGGATAAATTTGAAGTTAAGAATATTGTATAAGCGCTTTGTGCAGTGTATCAGAGCGCTATTGCTCCCCGGTTTCAGTTTCAGTTTCCCAAAATCTTTAGCCGAGCGTTCTAACGTTATTCCTCCTAATAAACAGAAACATGTGCAGCTCAGTCTCCTCATTATTCACCACATCACTGTAATATTTCATCATCAACATTAACACAGGAAGGTAATAAGAGGGGACGATGGAAAAACCCTCAAGCATCGTTTTCAGTGTAGATAAATGTAACGTTGTTATGCCAGTAATAGTGAACTATGCTGCCTGATACTTCATAAAAGATAGAAACAGGTGGTTAAACAGACGTTAAGACAGCTTTTCTCAAAGTTAGGATGGAATTTAGGAGATTTAGTCTAGTTAGGATGTTTGTGTAATACTGTTTTCTTTTCTGGAGTTAATGATAAGATTATAAACTTAGGAACTGTTGTTCTGTAATAGCTTCTGTCCTAAATTCAGTCCCAACTAAGTTGTCATGGTGACTAAACAGATAAGATAAGATTTCAGACATTACAGAAGTTTCTATAGTACGGCCCCAGATGGGAATATAGAACATTTAGAATGTAGATACTTGGAAATGTATGAAGTTGGGGATATAGGACACTGGAAAGGTAGGGTTCTTAGAATACAGGGCCCTAGTAGGAATAAAGAATGCTGGGAATGTAGGGCTGTGAAAATATGGGACCCTGGTGAGAACATAGAACACTGAGCATATAGGGACTTGGAAATATACGACTCTTGGAATATATAGGACCATGGTCTGTTTTCAAAATTGCAAAGAGAGAACTAAGGGCCTGAAGAATACAACACTAGGATGACCATTCATCCTTTTTTTCAGGACATGGACAGATTTGGCTTTGCTTTCATGTTGACATTCTACAGTCTGCCCTGTGCTGCCCTCCTTCCCCTAGTGTCCTCTTTTTTAAAAACCAAAATATGGTCACCATACATAGGAATGTTCCCTAGACATTTCAATGAAAGAATAAAGAACATAAAGAAAAATAGGAAACTGCGAATGCAGAACCCCGGGAAAAGAGAGCTGACTCATTTCCATGTGTTTCTGTAGTGAAATCCTGCTGTGCTTCTTTTGATCCAACTCTAAGTGATGATTTAGCCAAACTTAGCCTACAATTTGTCAAGAAAAAGCTCAGACAAAAATCACTTTCACACTTCTTCCCCAAATGTAGACAATCACCCAAGAAATGTGTAGTGTCTGCATCCGAGCTACAAGTTAATGTAGCTGTGTAATGTTAGCATTGTGCATTGCCTATGTAAGTCATACAGTGTCAGAAAATACATAATCAAGTCTAGTAAAGATTTCTTAACAACTCCACATGATTTGAGGCAAAGTGTGACTGGTGGCTATTAGCTTACTGGCTACATTAGCCTTCTATCTCTAGGGCAAAACTAAAGCAAACTTAAGATACTTTATCAAGCTTGTTTGGTGTAAGGAAGATTGTATGGCTGAACCTCTAAAAGCTCCCTCACAGAAAGTTATTAAAGGAAATGGTTATGAATACACAGCCTGATGTGTGAGACACTGTTTTATGACAATTTTACAAGATGATTTGGGCCTAAAATGTGTTTTTTAAAGTCTATTCATGGTGAAAAAGTACATGCAGGGTATTTATAAGGCAGAACAGTCCCCCCCAAAAAAACATACTTTTTGATTTACCGTCATTCTAACTATTTTGCATCATTAACATTACATATAAAAACTCAGAAAACACACACAGTTTCACTGGTGGTTTTGGATAGTAAATAAAATGTCTATGTTTGTGTTGTAGTCATGGTGTCCCCTGGTTCCTATCACCACCACTGTAAAGAAATCTGAATCTTTACAATCAAGCATTTTACATCAAACCACTCTGATTGATTTCGTTTTCATCATAGCTATTGAATTATGCAGGAATTCTGAAAAATCCATGGATTTCCCCTTCAACTACAGCATTTAAAAGCAACTCTTTGGCCTCTTTTACTTTTTCCTTCAAACATATGCACAAATACCACCACCACAAACACTAATACGAGTTTTTAAGGTGGGGCACTATTTGCAGTGTGACAGAGACCATGTTAATATGCAATAATTTTGCAGTAACAAAAAATATTGCCATAGCTCTTACTGCCATCCAATTTCACGAAACCAATTTACATATGTTTACCAGCGCCTTTCTCTATAGCGCCAGAGACGCAGGTACTGGGGGGAAGCAGGAACGGGCAAGAGAAAAGAGAAAAAAATCTCCCTATTCTCTCTTTCTTTCTTCCTCCTATGTGTCTCTCTCACATGGATTTACCATCTCAGAAGACGTGTAGGTTCACTGGAGTTTCTCCACAATAACCTATTTCATAAGAAAAGTTAATTATTTAATAAAAAGTGTTGTTTGGCAGTACAGAATGTTGATAATGCTGGATTTCTCTTTCTAGCAGTAAATTTGGCTTTGCCTCACTGACCATACTTTAGGATATCGGGCAGGTTTTCTCTTTTTTTCTTGCTCTCTCTCTCTCTCTCTGCTGATGGCAGTTGGATTGGCCTTGCAGTGCTGCTTCTCAGTCTGGCTCGGCTGAAGAGCTGAGCTGTGCTGATGCCAGCGCTGTCCTGTCCGTCTCTCTGAGGACGGGCCGTTTGCAGCAGAGTCTTGATGGAAACTGTCCGACTGTAATTACCCCGTGTGTCTGTCCAGAAGGAGCGGTGGGCCGCCTGTCACGTCTTATGTCAACATCGATTACAGAGCAGCGCATCAGAATGTTTGTCCAGACAAGACATCTCACTCACCGCTACCTTTTCTTCCTGAATAACTGGCCGTCCGGCCGTCTCTCCTCTGCCTTCTCTGCCGTCTGATCTTGTTGTTCTTATTTGATCTCTCTACTTCTGTTTAGTTTGGTGGGTCCCCTTTTAATCAGATGAAAAATACCTCGTGGACCTGGTTTGTAATTAACTGGCTGACTAACTAACTAACAAACTCTCAAATAAACTAGCTAGTTAACTAGCTAAATAGCTAACTAACTAAATCCCTCTCTATCTAGGCAAGCTAACTAGCTAACTAGTCTTTAGTCTAATGAGCTTATAATGTACATTGATTATCTAACAAATTAACTAAAAAGCTAACAAATTCAGTGACAAGCTATCAAACAATAATCCAACTTGCTAACTAATTAGCAAGTTAGCTAGCTTACCTGCTCCCTCACTAGCAAACTATACTGTTAAATATATATAAATATATATTAAACATTTAGATAAAAAGCTAACGTTCACTAACAAGATATATCAAACTATCTAACTAGCAAACTAACAAGCTATCAAACGTACACATTAACCAATGAAATATCCTCCTGACTAACTGATTGAATGATTAACAAACCAACAAAGTAAATGAATAACAAACTCCCTTATTATCCATACAAAATAACTTGCTAGCTTGCTAGTTAGCCTCCTAGCTAACTGAAAATGACAAGCAAACTTTATTAGATTGTTAGTTAAAACGTACTGTCTAGCAAATTAGCTAATAAGCAATTCTCTAATAAACAAACAAATTGCCCAACATACTAACTAATATAGCCAGTTAGCCAGCTAGCCTGCTCACTAATATCACTTTTGGCCTGTTAGTGTAATGAGCTGTGGCTATCTAATATATTTTTAAAAAATGAGTTAAGAAGCTAACAAATTCACTAACAACCCACCAAATTAACAGTTTACTTATCTTCCTAACTAACTAACTAGAAAGATAGCTCTCACAAACTGCACCCTGCGTAGAAATGTGTATGTAGGCTACATTTGATGCTGCTGACATTGCAGTGTGACCACAAACGTTCACTGAAATGGCAAACTTTCACTCGATTAGAGAAACAGCTTCAGCTGAACATGACAAGGCAAAAAAAGTGGAAAAATGGTGGTGCTCCGGACCGTTGAGTCTTTGTGTCCATGTTATTCACCCATCTACTCTCTCTTCTATCCACCCATCTCTCTCTCTCTCTGACTGTCTGTCTGTCTATCTGCAGGCATCCATGGAGTTTCATTACAGTGAAAGGAGACACAGCCTCAGCAGTGGAGGATCACGCCATTTATCAAGGTGAAGTTCTGCCCGAAAAAACAAAAACAGCAAAATATGAGACATAGCACCTGCACAGTACATTTTCACCTTTTAGCTAATAATGCAAATGAATGTTTTCACAGTTAGAAGTTAAATACATTCACTAGAAACACCCACCTTGTACTTCCACATATTGGCCACTTTATTAGAAACCCCAACCTTGTACTTCTACTCACTGGCCACTTTATCAAAAACACCTACCTTGAACTTCCACTCACTGGCCACTTTATTAGGAACACCTACTTGGTACTTTTACTCACTGGCCACTTTATCAGAAACACCTACCGTGTACTTCCACTAACTGGCCACTTTATTAGAAACACTTATCTTGTACTTCCACTCACTGGCCACTTTATTAGAAATGTGTGATGACCTACCTTGTACTTCCACAAATACAAGGTAGGTCTCTGTGATGACCTACCTTGTACTTCCACTAACTGGCCACTTTATTAGGAACACCTACCTTGTCCTTCCACTCACTGGCTACTTTATTAGAAACACCTACCTTGTACTTCCACTCACTGGCCACTTTATTAGAAACACCTACCTTGTACTTCCACTCATTGGCCACGTTCCTTATGGTTCCACTATATTAGTGTACAATTACAGATTGTCACCCATCTGTTGCTGCCCAATTCCCCTCTACTTCATTCTTCATTGGTCAGTTTCTGACCAAAGGAAGGATTTGTTATAAAGTGGGCAGTTAATGTATATCAATTAACCATACAACAAATGAGATGTAGGCCTTAATTTCAAAAACTTGCTTCCTCTGTATTTGTAATGCAGGAACTAAAGCATCATCTGAGGCCAGAAGTGTCCAGGCCTTCCACTCCGGCTATGGAGAACGTTTCACCATCACCACTGTCAGCCAGTGGGTCCAGGGTAAAAACAAACCTCTCCATTCTCCTTTAGCACATACTCTACCCCTCTGTTATCTACACTGTCCTCTATATTCTTCTCCTCTCCTACACCTTACCACCCCAGCACATCCATCGTCCAACCCTGCAGCCCACTTTACCCTCTAGAATCTTTTGATGCTGCCAGTCTCTGTGATAATTACTGGTATATACAGCAGTTTTCTTTTTCATCTTAGATGTGGCAGAATAATTAACAGACATCCTAGTAATTAAAGGCAGCAAAAAAAAGAAAAAGGACAACTGAGACATAGCCTGTTTTAAGACTGAATGTTCTGAATGTGCTGGTAAAAGAAGGGCAGGTGAAATGTGCTTCACTAAAAATATTTCCATGCATCAAAAGTGCACTTCTAAGTAGAGTTTTATGAATTATGAACTATATGTTATGAATATATTATGAATGATATATAATGAATATTTGAATTTAATGAAAAGATATTGTTGTGCATACATTTTTGGGCATTGCAGATTTCAACCCCTCGATACAGATTGTAATTAAATGTAAATACAATTGATTATATAAATTACTATGTAATCAGTGATTGCACAATGACTGAATGCTCAACATTCTGAAATGGATCATTCTTCTTTAAAAAAAAAACTATTATTATACGAGGTACACAATAGGGGATGAGGGATACCTTAACAACCACCAAGCAACAACCTAGCAACCACTTGAAACATCCTAGCAACCACCCAGTAACACCCTAGCAACCACTTTGGACACCTTAGCAACCCCTTAGCAACACCCTAACAACCACTTAGCAACCAAACAGCAATACCATGCTACCTACCTGAAATACCATACCAACTGCCTAGCTACCACCTGGAATACCATATCAACCACATAGCAACGCTCTAGCATCCACCTGGAACACTATGTAAAATACCTAGTGACTGCCTGAGATATGTTAGCAACCACCTACTAACACCCTAGCAACCACTTGCAACATCACAGCAACCACTCAGCAACAACCAAGCAACCACCCAGAATACCATAGTAACCACGTACCAATCCCCTGGCAACCACCTGGAACACCACTGAAACCATCTAGCAAAACCCCAGCAATACCAAGCAAAATGCTTAAGTTGCGCATTCAGTCTGCATTTTCTTCAGGAAAGTCACTTTTCTAGCTAATGATATAAGTATGTAGTTACACATAGACAGAATAGCAAACAATAATAACTTTAAGAGTTATAAATAAGTTATAACTCTATAATTATAACTATAATTATCACTCTAAAGTATTCTAATATACACAAACACTACTTCCCTCCATAAAACACTTGAAGACTAACACTTTAATCCGCTAAAGCATCCTTTTTTCACCCCACAATATTTGCCAAAACCCGTAATCATAATCAAGTGCCCCTCTCCCCGTACAGACCCCTGATCAGAGAGAAGTTAAAGAGATTGTGTTTTGATTGAGCAGCTGCTTCTGCCGATGCGGTTTTATTGTGCTGGTTTGAATGCAGAATTCCCTGTAGGTATGTGCACTGTGTGCAGGTTGTAATGCACTCAGGGAGCCTTTTAATTATCTCCACACAAAAGCTATTAGACAGGCAGAGTGGTAAAGCAGAGAGATTGCAAATGTAAATGAGACTAATATCTGCACACACCTTGTTGGCTAGTCTGGAGGGGCAATAGCGTCTGGAGCCTGGCTTTAGCATGTATCTGTGCTTGTGTGTTGTTTGCAGAGGCTGAGTGGACCGAGTGGTTTGACCGTGATGACGAAAGAGGCTCAGGAGACTGGGAGAAGCTTTCAGACCTCCATAAGGCGTTTCCTGAGCGACTGTGCAGCAACCCCTTGGATATTGAGGTAGATACACTTTGAAATGCGCCCCAAGCCCTCACAGAAACCTCACCAGCTACATATCGCTGCTGTTGGAAGAAAACCTCGTATCTCCATTTTTGTCGTTTTTCAGTTTTTGACCTTTACATTGTGTGTAAAGTTCATGACGAATGGACCAAATAAAACAGACCAACATGACTTGGAAAAAAGTCTGATTCCATTGACTTACATTAAAAGTAAAGTAGGCTTTTTCCTTCTCCTGTAAAGTTGTCATTTTGGAGATATGAGGTTTTCTTCCGACAACAGAGTGGCACCTCTTCACTTTTACTACAGCTTCCGTTCTATTCTCAGGAGACTTTCAGTTTCTCAAATTAATCTGTAGCCACACCTCCAAAGTGTGGCTACACCTCCCAAACACATTTAACAGTGTTGAGGTCTGGGCTTTGCGGTGGTCGGTCCATTGTGTATTTATGTTTTCATCTATTTACTTTTCTCAGTGAGGGCTTCTTGACAGATACACATTCTTTGAACACCTACAAAATATACCTACATAGTAAATAGGCTGAGACAGGTTTAAGGTAGGGGTTTCTAATAAACTGTCAACACGGTAACACTTTATATTAGCTTTGTTGAATAAACCATTACCTGACAATTAATTACATTAATGGTAAACAGATCATCAGTTCATTAGAATTTGAATATATATGTCCATTATTTAGTTTTAGACCTTTTGCAGTACATGCTTAAAAAAGATGGTTCTTCAAGGGTTCTTTAGTAAAGAAAATGTTTCTATATACCATGGACACTCAAAGAACCCTTTGCATGATTAAAGGGTTCTTTGCATCACAACAGGGTTTTTCATACTGATTAAGAATGTGCTGTAGATGGTTCTATATAGAACCTTTTTAAAGGGTTCTATGTAGCACCAACAAGGGTTCTTCTATTGTAACAAGCTTGACATCGTAACAATAGACGAACCTTTTGGGTGCTATATAGAACCTTTTTCATCTACAGCACATTCTTCATCAATCTGAAGAAGCTTTCACGATGCAAAGAACCCTTTAATCATGCAAAGGCTTCTCTGAGTGTTCATTGTTCTATATAGAACTATTTTCTTTACATAGAAAGCCTTGAAGAACCATCTTTTTAAGAGTGTAGTTAAAGTAAAGTGAAAACTACATGCAACAATTTACATGGTTTCCTTTGTCTTGTACAGAATTATAATGCTACAATGCTACAGCAGTGTCTCTTAGAGTAAGTTAGAATTAGAAATCCCAAAATCACTGAAATCTGACTACTTGTTGACCTAACAGTACACACATTACACAGTCCAGCACAGATGAGGCTCACCTCAGCCATGTGGTATTAAAATGTGCACAGATTTTCACACATTACATCTTTCACATGAAGGGATCTAAAGCACGCTCGATTCCCAAATCACGCTGTCATGTGAAAATATATACACAAAGTGCCTGTCATGTGAAATAGAGCAAAGTGCTGTTGTAGTTTCTGCCCTTTGCAGTGTCTCTCGACCCAGTTGTGATACTCTGTGCAATTATAGCCCCAATTTGTCTTAAAACAAGTTTTTGAATATGTGATTAACTCAAAAGATCAGCTGGAGAGGCAGTGTGTTGCCCAGGCATCATTTTGGAAAAGACACTCTTCTTGCCTTTATTTCAGAAACATGAACTAATTAGAATCAGTGTAGGTTACAAAAGGAAAACGCAAAAATGACACTACACGAACTGGCTACCGATAAGTGAAAACTTTCTAGATTGCTTGAGAGGCAAACTCACAGCAGTGCTTTAGACGGGCTGCGTGTATCTACGGTAACAAGCAGTAAATAGTGGCCACATTTTCACTCAATCACGTTAACCTGCAGCAAAGTGTTGAAATTTGATAGCCCGTTTGAATGAGGTGCGATCTACCAACATGCACTGTGCGATCGACTGGTCAATCGCGATCAGCCTATTGCGCATCCCTGGCTTATGTCATTATTAGAAAGTTATGCATTTCAGTAATTTGCTGATGATTTGTATGCATGTACTGATGTACAACTCATTGTTTATTAGTGAAAGGGTTTGTTGTAAATGTATAGAAAAACACCACGTACAGCATTTATAAACATAAATACAAATACGTTTTGTGAATATATCATGCCGTGCCAAATGTCTCACAACAAACATGACCATCCTGTTTCTCTGGTGCCTCAGTATTTACACCAAGCATTCATTTCCTCTGACCTCAGGCTGAAACCCTGGACGGCATCCCTGCCAACATGACGGGCGAAGTGTTCTCCAAGTTTGACAAAAACTATGGCTTTGTGTGCCTCAACAAGGACCAGCCACAAGGAATCTGCCACAACTACCGTGTCCGCTTTCTCTGTGGCAAACTTGGTATGTGAAGAATGCATTGTACCCTTTACAGAGAGGGCTGTGTCCCAGGGCAGCGTGTCTGAATCTCGCATGCATGCGTTGTGAAATGTTTGTATGTGTGTGCATGCATGTTTGCAGCATTAAAGTGATAATTTGGCAAAAGATCTAATTCAGTTTTCCTCTTACCTCAAATGTAGCCAGTCAGCCAAGATGTGTGTCCAAAGTTTGACTGTTTTGTTTTGCACTGGAGCTATGAGGCTAATGTGGCTAAGTAATGGAAGCTTATAGCCAAAAATGCATTGCTTCAAACCGCATCAAGTAGACTTGCTTATGTGATCTCTAATATTGTATAACAGAGGGACATAGCTATGGGGTCAGATTTCTGACTACTCAAAAGAGAAAACAACTCCAAAGCCAATAAATGGTGTTTTATGCTCTCATAATCTAATATGAACCCAAACACACCGAGGTCTTGTATCCTTATCATAATTTCAGTATTTCTATTTTAAATAAATAAAATGAATCTCCACTCATAATCATCAGTTTTCGGCAGCCGCTATTACCGTGACAACATTTACATGGCGTGTGCTACCATCGATCAAGTAGCCTAGCATCACTAGTTTTAAACTAGTTCTGCATGGAACCGCACCAAACTTCATAAAAGTTCAATACTGTGGAAAAACAATGAGAAAATCGCAGTCTTTCACCATTATGCTCCTAGACAGCTACACATAGTGCTGTTGAAGGTAGGAGGTTAATTAGCCTTTACCCGCTGTATTCCGTCAGTTGTTATAGTGACAAGGCAGATAAATGTGAGGTCAGCAATCATATGTTGTATTTAAAATTACTTTTATTTCTCCTCTGGTGATGTTAACAGGGGGTATCTTTCTGAAAAAAAAAGACTTTGCTGTAGTGAAGTAAACTAGTTGGCTAGTTGGTAGTTGTCAACCACACTATAGTGATGTCTCTGGGTCAATATAGATAAAACTAACCCCCTTATCCTGTATTAGAAGCTCTTGCCAAACAAAAATGTAATGGAATTGCATACTGTACACATGTTCCTATATAAATGGCCAGCAGCACAAACAAAATTGAGGCCTTAATGGCTACTGCTACTATTTTTAGCTATGCAATGTACTTGTGTCCATTTTTTAGCGCAGTGCTAATTGGTTGGGTATAAGCTTCCATTATTTGGTAGCTATTTGGTAGATTACCCTGCTAGAATAACTAGCATAGACCAGCATGGCCAATCACCAGCAAAACCAGCACATATTGATATTGATGTTTTGGATACTGGTATGCTAGTCATCAGCAAAGCAAGTTAGTATGCTAGTAACCAGCAAAACTAGCATATGTTGTGTTTTAGATGCAGATATGCTGGTCATCCAGCATGTTCATGTAAACCAGCACCAGACCAGCAAAACCAGCTCAGACCAGCATAGAAGTCATGCTGGTCTGTGCTGCTCTTTTCAGCAGTGTAGCTTTGTAGCTCCAAATCTAAAGAATCAAACACTTTACATGTCTCGGCTGATCAACTACATCGCTGTAATATTTGGAAAGCTGGTAGCACTCTAGTGTTCTTTGCGTGTTGGGGCTGGTCTGTTTGTGTCGCTGCATGGCACGCAGCCTCTCGTATCCAGCACAAAAAGAACACAGGGGTTTGGGAGTTCCTGGCACACGCAGGCAGTCAGAAGTTCAGGGCTACCCGTGCAACCGGATCACATCAGCGTGTTTATACGGTGCCCAGTACCGCAGAGATAGAGATAAGGGTACCTGCAATGGAGACTTGAACAAATTACCTCAGGTTGAGCATGAATCTGGAATGACTCATTGGGTTTTAAACAATGCTGCCTTCATGTGCTTGTTGAATGGTCACATTTTAGTACTTGCATAATTACAAGTCATAATTACAAAATCTGTGTTCAAGTACTTTATAGTCAGAGACAGGGAGGATATCATAAAGCTGGAAAACATACTGGGTTTGGAATGTTATTGTTTACCACAGTGCTGGCAGTGATTTCTGAAAGCACTTTTCATTTTTCTGAAAAAACACCTTAGATCTGGCGGTAGTAACATGTTATATGACACTAATACACTAATATACTAGCATGCCGCCGGCTATAGAATGATGACAAGACTCACGAGGTCTATTACAGAAAAGCCTGATGAACATCAATGAAGTGCTACATTCAGTAAAACTGTGTTAAACAAATAGGCAAAACAACTGGAAAGGTGGGCTAGTCAGTTGTTTGTTTTGCAAGTATTTTAGGTAGCACAGTAGCTAATTTAGCTAAAGGTGTCGGTCCCTTAATGTTGCAGGGATTACAGAGTAAACTGTTAAAAAAAAATATTTTTTTAACAGCAGCTGTGGGGGCATGGCTAATGAACAGCTTGATTGACAGCTTTCTGTCACTCCTAGACTGCTCCGCCCCTCATACAGAGCTAAAATCATTATCCAGCTTTTATGTGACGCTAACTGGACACAAAAAGCCACCGATGAAGATATATGCAGACGTATGGATGGACAAACAAATGGATGGACAAAGCAATGCATGAATGAAGGAATGGAGAAACAAATAATGTTGGTGTTGGAGCTGGTGGTCCAACTTGCTAGCTTTAGGTTATGTTGGGTTAGCTTTAGTTCGCTAAGTGCTTCTGAATCTGAAACTGTTTTGTGTGGGCGGGGCAAAAGACGCAGTACTATGATTGGTCAGGAATGCTTACGGAAGCGTTAGCCAAGATTAGGACCGCCCTGTTTACATCAAGAGGAGAGAAATATGGTAAAATATACTGGTCATTTATCGGTCAATGGAACATTATTCAGAGGGTAAGCGTAGCACCTGTTTACTGTTTACCTGGAAGAACAAGATTAACCTAATTAGAAAGACAGATTTAGGTTCCCTGTGTCTTTAAAGATCCAGTACATTACAGATCATATTCTTTTAAAACTTATTATAAATTAAGATGGATTAACATACTTGCTACACAAACTACAGACCAACCAGCGATTTGAAGTTGTTTGGCCTCTTTCCTTTAAATACTGCATGTATACGTGTAGCACTTCAGTTCTGTACTTCACACTAGATGTTTTTTATAAATGAAAGATTTGAAGCGTCTCCACCCTGACAGGTTTGTAGCAAGTTTTGCTAATGCCGTCTTTTTAGATATAGCACTTTTTACAAGGTTGGCACCCTGGCTATTATCTCTTAGCATCTTAAAAAATTAAACATGTGTACACTCTCAGACATAAAAGCACTAAACTGTCACTTGGGCAGTACCCCTCTTGTCACTGGGGTGGTACCCTCAAGGGTACGTCTCAGTACCTTTAGTCATTGAATTTTTTTGTTCTAAATTGTATTGACTCCACACACCCCATCTCGTCTCCAGACTTTTTATTTCATTCTTCTGTTTTAAAACATTAGATCATAAAAAGGTACAAATATGTACTTTTCATCTGGAAAAACTTATTCAAGCAACACAAATGGACTATTGTACCTTTCAGGGAACAATTTACATTGTTGGCACCTTGATGGGTGAAAAACATACCTTTATTTCTAACAGTGTATACTGCAACCATTTAGTTATCCTGATCTATTTTGGTGGCTTACTGACATTATAAAAATGTATATATTGGATGTAAGCCGTTGTGGCCTAATTGGTGACTACTAAAAGTAAGTTTTTAGAAAAGTAAAGAAGAATTATCTGGCATCAACCACTGAAACCGTCCTTTTTTCCACCATGATAAAAGGCTAAGGGTCAGCACCACGTCAACTACTCAGTAAATTGCTCCTACGGCTGTAAATTGTGACTTGGAATGACCTTCATGTGGCTAATTTGCCCAAACATCTTTGCAGTTTGCACAGCCTTGAAACTTCAGACATCAATTTTGTCTTGGCTGATTGAGTGAATCAGTAAAAGGAACATTGTGTAATTCAGATTTTTGATTCCAATAGCACATGAAGGCAGCACAAGTTCTTGACCTCCAGAGCAGAGTGTAGCACCTGAGGATGAGCTAAAGATCAGGTCAAACAGTGCCAAAGCTGGCACACACTGACACGGCACGCTTTCCTCCACCCTCCACTGAGACATTGTCTTGCTGTGATTTCAGATTTAAGGAGGGAATTGAAAATCATAAAGCTGGCGATGTATCGTTTGCCATGTTTTGATGCTGATTGAAGCTCAAACTGACCACTGGAATCTTGGTTTCAAAGCGCTTGTGGGCTGTCAAGCTGACAATACATTTTCACTCAAATGAAATTGTGCTCGGAGGTTATGAAAGCTCTGTGGAATCGGCAGAGTACGAGCACTTTCACCATCCCCAGCTGATTTAGATGAATGGGAAGGAGTCCAAGGTCAGTTCTGACGGATGTTAGCTGTTCTCCAACTGCTTGAGCACTTAGCCGTGTGTTCTTTGTCGCTATAGACTTGGTTAAAAATGAATGTGAAAGCTTTTTGGAAATCACTAAAATACACTATGCAGTCCATTTCTTCGCTCTGTGTATGTGCTAAAGCTTCCTCAAACTCCCTGACATTTCGAATCAAACTGAAGTCGTCTCCATGACAGCACATCATAACACATAATAAAAGTGTTAGATACTGTTGATGATGCTGTTGATTTCCAACCTTGCACAAAGCGTTTGGAGCAAAGGGAGCCGGCCCAAGGTCAGCTTCATTTGACATCACAACACTTTGGACATCACAGCACTTTTGCAGCATTGCTGAAAGTTGTAGTAATCTTACTTTGAATGCTAATGAATGCTAATGAATAGCATGTTTCAAAGCCAGCGTGGCGAGTACATCAAATGCTCCGCAGGATTGAACACACACAACCACGATGACCAATTGATCACAACATGTGAATGATATACTAGGCTGCTTTTGGAGAAAGGAGGGCGTAGATTTATGCTTTTTAACGGACAAATTAGCCACATAAAAGACCAACGTAATGGCTACTACTGAAGAAAGAGTGACTGGTGGTCTTGGCCTTTAAGTATTGTAACTTACTTTGAATGTGCTGATGAATATTATCGCATTTCAAAGCTGGAACCATCAGCATGGGTGCAATTACGTCAAAATACCACAGTTCATAACCGCATGCATCACTTTTTCCCACAGTAAGAATGCTGATCTGGGACCAGCTTCAGCCTTTTATCTCCTGCTGAGTGTTATTTGGTGTGCATGACGAAAATTGAACTTGGATCTGTAACTAAGCTTGAATTCAGTATAAAGGCTCATTCCATTAAGGCAGAACATGCTGACAGTGATCAAAAAATGGTCTTTAGGTGCTAAATTGCTCTGCAGGAGTTGACGTGTGCTTTTTTGATGAATAAATGCGTGTAATTGATCACACTGTGAGTGAATTATACTGCATGGGACCTTTAGAGAAAAGGAGAGGGTGGCAAGATGTAGATTTCCGCATTTTCTAGTGGATAATACGTGATGCTATCGATGTTTTCAGATGTAAGCAAATGTCTGTGGCCCAGTTGATGAGTCCAACAAAAAGTAAGCTGCATTTAGAATAAAGAATTTGCTGCCATTGTCCTTGCAATCAAAACGTGTGTTCAAATACTTCGCAATCAGAAACATGAAGGATAACAGGAAGTTGTTGTGGATGTTTCACAAAACTAACATTAGCTAGTTAGCGAGACTGATCTATTTTGGCATCGTCCTTACATTATAAAAATGCACATATAACAACCTGTTACACATGTAAGCAAATACCAATGACCTAATCACAAACTGCCTTTAGAAAGATAAAGAATTACCACCATCCTTTCATCCACCATGATGAAAGAGTAAAAGAAATGGTCAGAAATGTACTTTAACCGCTAACATTAGCTAACTCTCAAATATAAAGATGCCAAAAAGGGTTCTATATGTGATACCATGCAAGAACCACTTTTAGTTCTCTCAAGAACCGTCCAGTGAATGGTTCTTTAGAGAACCATCATTGTAAATGCGATCTGTGAGTGTGAAGCACCCTTTTAAAGTTGAAACTTCCCACAGGAAGAGTCCTTAAATTGCTACTGACCCTATATGTTGTGAAGGTTCTTTAAACCTTTTACCGACTATTTGCACCCACACATCTGTTTTTCAAACATGGTTCTTATTTTGTGGTCTTCTGAATGTTTCCTCTATGTAATGCAACTGGTTATAGATTTAAGCAAATCAATGCCTGTCGGCTAATCAGCGACTACTAATAGTAAGCTACCATATCCTTTCCTCCAACACGAGGAAGTTGTAAAGGTCAGTAACAGGGGCTCCTGAGAGGCACAATTGTCAGGTGAAAGCAAGGTCAATCCATGGCGATGCTGTAGTCTTGTAATGAGGTATGTAAATCCCGGACAAGGCCCCTTTGGCATGCGCCCGTCCCCTGGGCCCCGTCGATGGCTGCAAGAGCTGGCAGGAAGGCAGGGCCTGAACTCCGAGCCCAGACGAAACCCTGCAAAGACAGTGGGGAAAGGATGAAATCCACAAGTGAGTGGGGAACAGCACACGAGTCCCGAGCCCTGCCTCCTGGGCACTGCCTCCGGTCCCACCATGAGGTGGGTGCTCACGCTGCGCTTAATGAAAGTGAGCTGATGCTAATCTGCTGTTGCTAGCATGAGAGCCTTTTAAAAAGAGCAGAGAGGGAACAGATACAGGGGAAATGGGTTCATTGCTCCACCTCCCTGTTACCGTATCTTAGTCTTAGTCAAACGTGAGGCAAATTAAAGTGGCCTCATGGCGGGACCAGAAGCATGCCCAAAAAGCAGAGCTCGGGACTCGCGTGCCATTCCCCACTCCCTCGTGGATTTCATCCTCTTCCCACTGTCTTTGTGGGGCTTCCTCTGGGCTCAGAGTTCAGGCCCCGCCTTGCTGCCGGCTCTCATGGCTGTCATCTGGGCCCAGGGGATGAGCGCATGCCACACCCCCATTTTATTACATCCTGTACGACAGTGGTCACCAACCCTACTTCTGGAGATCTACCTCCCAGCAGGTTTCACTTTCAACAAAAACCTAGCACACCTCATTCAGCTAATTAACTACTTCTGAAGACAAGAATTAGATGGATCAGGTAGGGTGGATCAGGGTTGGAGCTTAAGTCTGCAGGAAGGTAGATCATTTCGAGGAGGAGTTGGTGACCACTGCTTTAGAGGCAGCAGGAATCGAACAAAAAGGCAGGAAAACAAGACTAGCAGGATTGTTTTATAACCGGTGCCTTCAGAAACAACCAATTCCCATGGAAAGGTGGAGGGGCCAATTATCCAATTAGCACCAACCTGAAACACTTACAAACAAAAACCAACAGCGAGAGAAAAACAAGATGTCAGAATGTAACAGTGGCCAGAAGAGATCATAATTGTCCACTCTCTTTGTGGGAGGACAGGACGATCCTCCATTTCCCTCATCAATCAGCGCAAATTGCTGTTTTGAAAACATGCGTTACGTGTCTTGGAGAAACATGTGCCAGCCTTCCCCCCTTCCAGCTTCGTAGCATTGTGTGACTTGGGGGGACCCAGCTAGTGGGTTTTGGAGTTGGACATGACCAAATTGGGGAATAAATTGAGTAAACGTAGGCAAGACAAGTTTATTTGTGTAGCACCTTTCATACACTGATGTCATTCATAGTGCTTTACAAATATAGAGTGAGAAAATACAAAGTTGTTTTAAAAAAGTAAACGAGAATAGAAATTAAAACATGATTAAACCATGAATAAAACAAGATTTAAAAAAAAGAAAATCATTAAATTAAAAATCAAATTTGAAAATAAATTAGGATAGTTAAAAATTAAAAATTGAAAGTTAGATTCGGATTAAAAAAAGTGCCGTTACAGAGGAAAAGAGGCTAGAAATGCTAACTGTGCTTTAAACTGAGCTGAAATCTGCTAAAATTGGAACATTTCGAGCCTGAATTTAAAAATGTCTAGTATCAGGGCTCTTCTAATGCCATTATTCCATTATACAAATGTAATTAATACAACCCATTACAGATTTAAGTTCAAGTCTATATCTTAGTCTTTTCATCCAGCATAATAAAAGAGTAAAAGTCAGTAAAGTCAGTAAGTCAGAAACCTCCCACTTGTAATTATGACCTGACGTTCATGTGCATCTTTTAGCTCCTATTTCCAACAATTCGACAAATGGTCTTCAGGTGCTGAATGGCTCTGTGGGGTTGGACGTGTGCTTTCTCGATGACTAAATGTGATAATTGACCACACTGAGCATGAACGATACCGCGTGGGATGTTTGGAGAAAGGAGAAGACTGCAGGGTGTAGATTTCTGCATTTTCTAATGAAGAAGTCAGTCAAACAAAAGCTCAAATAATGGCTGCCTCCGGAGAGAGAAAGGGAAGGGAAGGGCAGTAATTATAGAAAGGAGCTTTCCTCAGCTCACTCGTCTCAGCCCCGGAAAAAACCGGACCTGAACCAGCTGTATATTGTAGATCATTCTGCCACCGCTTCAGCTTGTGATATAATACCATATAATACCACTCCAGTCTCATTCAGCTCCAGCATCGCGCCTCACTTTTACTTGACAAATTCAATCTTGGTGATTAAGGTCTATGATTTTCTCAGCAGAACAACACTCTTTGCCCTCCCGCCCTCTCATTCATTTCCCATCGTGGTTTTCAAATGTCAGCGCGAGTACACATAACTGATGCGTGTATCATCAGTTATATGTGGTTTTATTATCTGCGCTCGAACCTGATGACCTAATTGCGGGCTGTGCTCACAAGCCAGCCTGACTGAAAGTGCCTGAGCAAGGATTTGTTGTGATTTATATCAAGAATTTTTTTAATATATTATGGAAAACATAATTTTTTATTAATGAAGGTTTTGCCACTTCACACTTTTAGGCAATCTTAAGTGTACACAAGCTTAGTCGCTGATCTAATGCAACATCCACCCTCAGTGGTGAGACATCCATCATATTTATTGCCCTTTAGAATTAATTTGCTAATTACTCTTGGTAAAGACGAGCAAATAGGCTTGTTTGTCTTTTTGATCTTCACCTAAAATATAGATAGATAGATAGATATTAGTGAGGACATTAGTATGGAGTTCTCTTTGCAGCTATAAAAGCCTTCACTCTTCTGGGTAGCTTTCCACATGATTTTGGAGAGTGTCTGTAGGAATTTGTGCCCATTTAGTCAGAAGAGCATTTGTGAGGTCAAACAGTGATGTTGGACAAGAGGGCCTGGCTCTCGTTGACTCTCCTGACTGTCGTTCTACTTCATCCGAAAATTGTTCAGTGGGGTTGAGGTCAGGGCTCTGTGCAGGTCACTGGAGTTCCTCCACACCAAACTCATCACACCATGTCTTTGTGCCCAGGGGCTCAGTCATGCTGGAACAGGAAAGGGTCTTCCCCAAACTGCTGCCACAAAGTTGGCAGCATATAATTGTCTGTAATGTCTTTGTGTGCTGTAGCATTAACATCACGCTTCACTGGAAGTAAGGGGCCTGAAAAACAGCCCTAGCCCATTATCCCTCCTCCACCAAACTTTACTGGTACTATGCATTCTAGATGGTGGCATTCTCCTGGTATTCATAAAACCCAGATGTTTAAAGACACTGAGCTCTTCAGTACGACCCATTCTACTGCCATTATTTGTTTCAGATTACATCTGCATGATTTTATACACCTGTTAGCAAAGAGTGTGGCTGAAACACTTAAACTCATTAAACACTCCACATACTTTTGGCCTTATAGTGTATATAATAAGCTCCATTTACAATGACAATTTACAAGACAAGCATGCAGAACTGCATGACATAGGTATAAAATGTAAAGGAATAACAAAAATCCATGTGTGTGTTTGTGTTGTGTAGTCCGTCCACAGGCTTCCATCTCCATAGACACCCACTCCAACTGTAGTATCCTGGAACTAGCAGATGAAGCTCAAGGCTGGCAGCCAGGCGACAGGCTGGTGGTGGCCAGCACTGATTATTCAATGCACCAGGCTGAAGAATTCAGCGTTCTGCCCTGTCCCACCTGCACCAGCAACCAGGTCAAAGTAGAAGGTCAGTCTCTGGCATTTATAGCCTTTTTACTTGTGTTCAGTTGGGGCTGCTGTGAAGAGAATTATCGCTTCAATAAATTTCTTAGCTAAAGAGGAGTTCAAAGCACCATATTCTGCATTTTTCTTGCATTTTATTTTTCACCCTGGACTCAGATTCTGACATTTTTATGATATTATGCACCCACTACAGTCATAACTCATTCTTACATGACCATTTTCCAACCTCCCTTTACCCCTTAGAACTAAGCAGGCTGTTCTTGTTACTGTGCCTTTAAGACATGATGTACAGTCAGATGCAAAAGTTTGAAGACTCCCAGTTGTTGATTTTCTAACTGAAACCCCCTAAAATCCCAGGCCTATTACATACTAAGGCTTATTTTTCAGTAATTACAGGGACTTCTGTGCAAACTGGCTGAGCTGTTCTTAGGTTATAAAAGTGTGTAATAAAACTTTGGCCGTTTAAAAGATTAACACATTCTCTACAGATAGCACACTTAGGTATGGCATAGCGTATAAAAATCTATAATGTGCCATTGCTTTTTCATATGCCACATTTTATGTTTACTTATTATTCCATCATGTTAAATTCAGCAAATAAATAATATTTTAAAATTGAAATATACTTTGTAGAGGAAAAAAACATCAACAAAACATCTTTTGACCAGGGTGTGCAAACTTTTGCATACAAATGCATATAAATGATTTCTGTTCTAATTGGCTTGCCTCAATAAAAATGCAGTCTAGCCTGAAACACGCCTCATAATATCAGCAGCAATGGGTGGGGCTAAGCTTCTGTAAGCTGAGTAGGTGGATATATGTGAAGGTGTTGTTTTTTTTGTGACATCACAAAAATAGTGAATTAAAAACAAGTTGTTTTTGCAGCTAAGCTTATGCAAATGTCTTAGAGAGCAGACAATATGTTTTGAAACATTTATATACCACTTTAAACTTTTTAAAAAAGAATGTGAAAAAAGACATTTTTCAATGAAATCAACCTTTTAAATAAACTGTAAAAGTGTAGTTTCAAATTAATTAAATTGGTATTTGTGCATTTGGATATTCAAGTAAGCTCAAACTCTTTTTACGTACTAAAGCCTGCTCAGTGAATAAAACATAAACTTAGACTTAGACTTAAACCTGCATTTTTTAAAAGCAGAGTTGGGACAACTGAGAGATTTGTATGCTGGGCTTTTATTTTGAAGTTGTTTTTGACAGTTCCTTAAAAAATGACAAAATTACAGTCTTTTATTTGGTGAGGGCCTCCTCTAGACTCCAGCAAGAGATGTTTTCTTTAGATGTATAGATGCCTTCATACCATTCCAAGTTTTTAAAATATGACTTTATTGATTTATTTGTGATAGTAATCAGTTCCCTCTGGCTATAATGCACCCCTCTTACATTTATAGCCTGCCACCATTTATAAAGAGAAAATGAAATATCTGACATGAGCACTGTCGTTATTCATATCACTGAAAAGTCCATGCACAAAAAACATGTATTAACAAGTTTGATGATTATGAATCCTAGAGAAATAAAGCAGACAGATTTGCTCATTTTCCTCATTGTTATGAGGAACTGATGAAAATCTGACATGTAAACCATGTGCGGTGAGCCATGGCTCAGTCATTTAAGTAAAGAAGAGTATACTATAGTATCTGGTGGCCAAAGAAATAACCTCAGATTATATTAATCCCATGCTATAAAATAAACCATAGAAATAATCTCATATTATACTAATACCATGCTATAAAAGAAATGATAGAAATAACCCCAAGATTATGTTAGTCCTGTGCTGTAAAACAAACCATAGAAATAACCCCAGAGTTCATTAATCCTGTGCTGTAAAACAAGCCGTAGAAATAGCCCCGGATTATAATAATTCCATGCTATAAAACAAACCATAGAAATAACCCCAGATTATTTTAATCCTATGCGATAAAACCATAGAAAAAAACCCAGATTAAAGAAATAACTACAGATTATATTAATTCCATGCAATAAAACAAACAATAGAAATAACCATATGTTATATTACCCCTGTGCTATAAAACAAATGACAGAAGTATAACCTCAGATTATGTTAATCCTGTTCTGTAAAACAAACAACTCCAGGATACATTAATCCAATGCAAATGAACTGTGGAAATAACCCCAGGTTATATTAATCCTCAAACCATACAAATAATCTCAAATTATATTAATCCTGTGCTGTAAAACAAACAAAAGAAATAACCCCAGATTATATTAAACCCATACTATAAAATAAACCATAGAATAACCCCAGATTATTTAAAACCCATGCTTTAAAACAAATTATAGAAATCACCCCAGATTATATTAATCCTGTACTGTAAAACAAACAACTCCAGGATATATTAATCCAATGCAATAAATAAATAAATAAACCATAGAAATAACCCCGGGTTATATTAATTCTCTGCTATTAAAAAACCATACAAATAATCCCAGGTTATATTAATCCTGTACTATAAAACAAGCCATAGAAATAACCACAGTGTTTATCAATCCTATACTATGAAATAAACCGTAGATATAATTCCAGGTTATAAAAATGGAGGAACGGAAGCCCAAACTTTTTTACATTTAAAAATAACCTGAGAATGTTATACTGTATCTAACATGATTAAAATTGATAAGATTCCAAAAATGACACAGTTTCAGATTAAGACATCATCACACCCCAAAAACAAAAAAAACATTTTTACAAAATTGCCATTTTGTCACTGGTAAAATGTTCCAAACAACAACAACAACAACAACAAAAAAAAAGAGTTGAGGAATACTGCAAAGGCGGGGCCAAGCTGAAAAAATGGACGAGGTAGTTAAAGGAAATGAGGTCACTATCGAGCTGAGCTATTTAAGAGTTTTAATGGAATAAATGTCAGTGGGAGTGCTGTATGTTTCAGCTTTGCCAATCGCACCCTGTCTGTCACTGAGATGTCGTCATGGTGACCCGGAGGGAATGGGTGGGAAGTACGATTGCAGTTGCATGGAGAAAATGATGATCGCAGTAATTATTTATAAAAAAATATCCTTCTTTGACCTAAATTTTGGGTTTGTCTCGCTCTCAGACTGAGCTCTCTTTGTGGAATCTCCTCCCTCTAGCCTTCAAGAAGGAAATTGTTTTCTGTTTTGGATCGCCTCATATCAGATTAGGGTAGAAAAGCACAGCGTGCTTATGTGAAAATATAAACAGAGGTGTCAGACCACTGTGTGAAATTCTCGCCCTTGTGTTTGAGCTTGTTGTCTTTCCCTGACTGACTTTTACAGCAATTGGAAGCTACAGGGATACAGTGGTGCCAAAAACTATCAAAGCCAAAAAATGTCAAATAACTTTCAGCACTTTGGTGACATAAGCTATTATTATGTAGAAGATGGACACAGTTATGTGTGGAGGAATCTGTTTGCTTGCATATTTTGGAAAAGTTCCACTATGACCTCTAGTTCACTCTCCACTGGGGGCTGGAGGATGTGGGAAAGTGCTGTCAACACTTTTTCCATGTTGCATAAAAAGCAACAAAATATTCTTTCAGCCAGTCAGTGTAAGCATGTTGGCCACTTTGTTAGAAACCCCAGAGTCGCTCTTGGCTGGATGAAAGTGGCCAGTGAGTGAAATGCAAGGTGGGTGTTTCTTATAATATGGCCAGTTAGTGGAAGTACAAGGTGGGTGTTTCTAATAAAGTGGCCAGTTAGTGGAAGTACAAGGTAGGTGTGTCTAATAAAGTGGCAGACAGAGATCAGATTAAGATTTTTATGTAAAAATAAAAATTTGTTTGTTGTCCATTGTAAGTTCTTTATAATTCATTATCACAGTCTATTTGGTAAAAAAAATAAAATTAAATAACATATACCATAAAAATATTAATTATTATTATTTTGCAATGTAAATCAAATTTAGTTCACACTCATTCAAGTGCATCTAAGTGGATTTGTTTTTTTAAATCTGTTAATTTCTTAATTATGACATTCTGTATGTACTGCTGTTTCTAAGTTCCCAATTTCCAAGACCACCTTACCCTGAGACCAAGACCAGACCGAGTCAAACTGAAACAAGACTGAAACTGTTAATTGACAGTTTCAAGACTGAGTTAGTGATATTACTTGCTAAATGCTGAAATGAATGTTGTCATATCATTTAGCTTAAACAAGAATACAGATAAACTTTTTTTGTATGTGTGTCTGTTTGATTGTGGTGAACTGTCTGTCTGATTAAACTGCAGTACACTTACATACACATAGCTACATTATATGATCCTGTGTGACTCTGATTGCAGTCTTTCTATCTGCTTGAGATGCTTTTCCAGTCGCCCACACTGCTGAGAGCGGCGCTCCTTCTTGTGTTTTTTGCCATCTAAGAGGATTAGAATTCTTCAGGTTTCAAAAGGTTAGAGAAGCACTGAAAACAAACACGCGTCTGCTGTCATCAGCCGAAGATCATCTGTCAGGATGGAGCTGTTTGGAAAAACGACGCCCATAATTGCTCTCCCCTCCAGGCGCCTGGGTCAAAAACACTGCTCTCACTTTACCTGCCTTTCATTAAGCACGCAAATCCTCGCTAGCGTGTTTCCACGCCATCTCTGAAAACCACAAACCATCCCTTCCCCTTGCGCAGAGAACAGCCCAGATCATGTTTCATAACCCATGTTGTTTTCCAGCATTGAGACTACAGTCTGCACAATATATCATTTGTAATATATCATTATCGCAATATTAACTTTTGCAATACTGAAAAGGTTCTTAAACCACTCAGAATATGTTACTGTGTGCTGTGAACATCCTGACCAGTCACAGTTCCAGGTTTGGGTTGATCCCAATGATGCCAACCAATGATGATAATAATAATAATAATAATAATAATAATAATAATAATAATAATAATAGGTTTTAATGAAGAACATCTTTTACATACTATGCACTTCAAAAATGTTCTTCACTCATTTGTGGTTCTCTAAAGAAAGGTTCTTATATGGCATCGTGCAA